TGGTCCCAGCCTTGGGGGTCCCAGGGGGCCTCAGGCTCTGCCCAGTTCCTGTCTAGATGCTACTGTATCCCCGGTCCCTGCGCTGGGCGCCTCCTCTGTCGGGGGGTGGCATAGAGACAGATAAGACACAATCTCTACTCTCAGGAAGCTCATGGGGGTGGGGAGGTGCATCTAGGCGTGGGCTGGGCACTTGTCTCAGGCTTCTGAACTTGCCAGGATAGGGGACCCAGAGCCAGGGTGCTGCCCCCTGCCCACCCCAGGCTCTGCAGGCCAGGCCTTTGCCAAGTGAGGCCAGGTGTCTTGTTCCTCCTTCCCAGCCCTACCTCTCACCGTGAGGAGGAAGCTGCCAGAGGGGCACAGACCTCAGGACAGACTCCTATTGAGGGGTCATCCTCTGGGAAAGTGGCCCAAAGGGGGCTCCGGACTGTGGCCTCCTTGGGAAAGCTGGGAGATGTGGGAGGGGATTCAGGGGTGAGCTGCTCCCAAGACGCCTCTTTCCTGGCCCCGCTGTGAGTGTCATTCAGCACCACGCGTCTGGCACTGCTGGATGGATCAGAAGTGTGGGGGCTTCCCTGGTGGCGCAGTGGTTGAGAATCTGCCTGCTAATGCAGGGGACACGGGTTCGAGCCCTGGTCTGGGAGGATCCCACATGCCGCGGAGCAACTAGGCCCGTGAGCCACAACTACTGAGCCTGCGCGTCTGGAGCCTGTGCTCTGCAACAAGAGAGGCCCGCGCACCGCGATGAAGAGCGGCCCCAACTTGCCACAACTAGAGAAAGCCCTCTCACAGAAACGAAGACCCAACACAGCAAAAATAAATAAAATAAATTAATTAAACTCTAGCTCTGGAAGCAATTCCGAAAGGAAAATGCGCCAGATATTTAAAAAAAAAAAAGAAGTGTTCTTTCCTGTATGTGCGTGTGCTGTGTGCATCTCTCGCTAGGCCGAGCGCCTTGAGGACAGGTCCACGGCTCTTCATCCAGGTGGGGCCGGACCCACAGACCCAGTTCTGGGACAAAGATCAGACTCCAGCCTCTGCTCAGTGCGTGAAATGCTCTGTCGTTGCCATTTTTCATCCATTCATTCATCTTCATTGGTTCCACCATTCGTTCAAGTAATAGTACGTCTGAGAAGTGTTCCTCTTGGTTCTGCTTAAACTCACCCTGCTCAGTCTTCTGGGGCAGCCCAGTCCACAATGTGACCATCTGACTTTTAAAACCTTACTGTTGGTAATTTGAAATCTGACTTCCTAGGTTGACCTTCTGCTGCTGGTCCTTCTGTCCTCCTTTATATGGCAGCGCTTGGAGGGTTCAAAGTTCATTCAGCTCCCCCTCCATTCTTCCCTCCCCCTCTCCGCCTTTCCTCCCTCCCTCCTTCCCTTCCTTCCTTCCCTCCCTCTCTCCTTCCCCCCTCCTTCTTTCCCTCCTCCCCTTCCCTCCCTCCTTCCCCCTTCCCTTTCTCCTTCTCTCCCTCCCTCCTGCCCGCTCCTCCTTCCCTCCCTCTGCAGACATTTATGGACTTCTCCGTGCCAGGCATCAGGAAGACAATACTGAGCAGCAGCACATCCAGCCCTGACCTCAGGGCGCTCACCATCTAGTCAGGGAGACGCTGCGAACAGAACAATTCCACAGATAACTGTCTCGCTGCCTCTGGTAAAAGCCACCCTGGGACCAGGGCAGGGTGGTAGGCAGAGCATATAAAAGTGGGACATAATCCACAGAGAGGTCAGAAAAGGCTTTCCTGAGGAAGCGGTGCTTTAGCTGATATGAAGACTAGGGAGGGGCTTCCCTGGTGGCGCAGTGGTTGGGAGTCCGCCTGCCGATGCAGGGGACGCGGGTTCGTGCCCCGGTCCGGGAGGATCCCACATGCCGCGGAGCGGCTGGGCCCATGAGCCATGGACGCTGAGCCTGCGTGTCCGGAGCCTGTGCTCCACAGCGGGAGAGGCCACAACAGTGAGAGGCCCGTGTACCGAGAAAAAAAAAAAAAAAGACTAGGGAGGAACAGGAAATTTGCCAGCGGCAGTTTCTCATATGATGGGGTTTCTGGACGCCTCCCCACCCTGTCACTCTCTGTCATCAGCCCCTGGAGAGGGAGACACCCAGGTCTGGACCCACTGCTCCAGGAGGGCCTGGTCAGCTCAAGGTCAGGGGCACCCCTCTCTCTCTGGCTGCTGCTTGCCCTGGGGGACAAGTCCCCTCCCAGGAATGCTCATCTGAACTGACCTTACATGTGGCCGCCCCCAGCCTGCTTCTGACTGCTGTGTAGAGGCCTAATTGTGAGTCCCTACGTTGACCCTACGCATGCTCGCCTCTCCAGTGTGGCCTGCTCACTCCAGCCGGCAGGGTCTGTTGTGAGTCTGGATTCCACTGCTGGCCGCGATGCCCAGGCCCGCATCCCTGGTGAGTGACCAGCACTGAGTCTGCATACCCTGGACAAGGTGTCAAGAGGCGAGGCCTCAGAGCTTATGGGGAGCAGGGGGAGGGCAAGGGGCCTGAGATCCTTGGAGGGGGCTGTGGAGGGGCCTCTGCCCTGGCGCCCCAGAAAGAGGTGCTTAGGGCCCGAGGCCTGAGCTATGCTGGGGTCCTGCTGTTCTGTGCCTCCCCCCATCCCCTCATCAATGCAGACCAGCTCCGCGTGCGCGCGTGCGTGTGTGGTGGGCGCTTGCCTGTCTGCGTGTGTGTGTGTGTGGAGTGTGTGAGCCGGTGTGAGTTGTCCTTGCTGTCGACTGGCGCCACCCTTTGCCACTAGTAACCCCATCACTCACGGGGGCCGGGTCACCAGAGACTTGGAAGCGGCCCCACCCGACCTACCTTGCCTAACAGCCACACCAGGTGGCCCCCTTTGCCCTCCTGCCTCTCTACCTGCCTGCAGGGTCCTCATTCACCACCCCACCCCCTCAAGTTGCTGACCAGGCAGCCGGGCAGGATCCCCTCCTCAGTCTTTTATTTCTCCCCACAGCATCCCTGCCACTGGTGCCCCCTGGTTCCCTCCTCACCTCATCACTTCCCCTGTCACCCCCTCTTCATCCGTTCAGACTCAGCGTAGACATGGACTCCTTCTCTAGGAAGCCCTCCCTGATCCTCCTCTGTGCTCTCAGACTGTAGGACCTCAGAGGGCACGGCCTACATGGGATTTATTATAGTGTTTTCAGAGGCTAAAACCTAATAGATCTTTTTAAATGAATCAGACTATAACCTCTGTGGGCTTCATATTTCTTATCTGTAAAATGAAAATAATACTATTTGACACAAGGGTTCTGAATAGGGAAGTAGATGACGAATAGGAATTTCCTGTCGCTGTCCTGGAGAAATCACAGATGTTCCAGAAACAACTCTCATGTCCCTGCCCCAACGTTTATGGATACACGTTCTTTTCTGTTTACATCCTTTCTATTAAAAATATTGTACATTTTTGGAGTCCTTTGGCCCCAGAGCACAACCAGCTTCTTGTAGCTCAGGTCTCTATTGGAAGGTCACCTCCTCACGGGGACTTTCTTTGATGACCCCATCTAAACTGCCCCACCCATCCAACACTCTCCACTCCAGTGGTTATCTCATCATGACCTGAACTTGATTCGTTTGTAACTTTTTGATCTGTCACTCCCTCCCTAGAATGTGAGAACCACAGGGACAGAGACCTAGGCTGCCTTTTCCATTCCTGGAGCCCCCAGTGCCCAGAGCCATGCCTGGCACACGGCGGCGATCCCTGAGTTTCCGAGGCTGAGGCTGTGAAGTCTCTAGGGGACAAATGCCAGTGTGTGTGTGTTGTGTGTGTGTGTGTGTGTGTGTGTGTGTGTGTGTGTGTGTGTGTGTTTGGGATAGAGGATGGTGGGGTAGCTCTTCCCCCCTCATCATACGTCCCAGGGAAGTGGGCTGGGGGAGACTCCTGTGCTCCCCCACGTGCTCCTGGAGGGAAATCGGGAGCCATGGTCCCTCCAGGGCTGCCTGGGCATGTAAGGGAGGGGGCGGCACCTTCTGGTGACTCCTGAACACAGTCCACCTGCCAGCAAGGAGGGACGGGGCTGCTTCCGCTGTTCCCCCACTTTGGAGGGACACTCCCTGCTGCCCTAAGCTGGGACCCCAGACCCTGGCCTGCCTCTTACTGGTGCAATTTTCTTCCCTGTGTGGCATTTGCTCCTCTCCTTTCCTCACTGTTGCCTTCCTGTCACCAGAGTCTGACAGGCCCCCTCCCACCTGCATTCTCCATCATCACCAAATCCTCAAACGTCCAGCTTTAGGGGTGCTGCGAGGTTCCCGTGTCTCCTGCAGTGGGGAATGCTACCCCACTGGGGCTTCCTGGTGCTCAGCCCCCACCCTGACACTCTGGCCCTTGCCCTGGGCATGGCGGGAGGGATTCCAGAGAAAGGCTGCCAGAGGCTCCCGCCTGTACCTGCTGCCCTTCCTGCTGGGGAAGGGAACTCAGTCCCCATGTGTCCCCCCTCCCCCCAACTGAGGGGGTCCAGGGCCAGACAAGCCTACTTGACTTCTGGCTCAGGTAGGCACAGAGGGTGTGCATGGACCCAGCTTTGGACCCAGGCCCTTGGCCAGCCTCAGTGGCATTACCCGGGGTGGCAAGGACGTCCCCTACCAGCTCTGTCCCCCCACCCCATGACCCCTCAGCCCTGCTCTCTACACCGGGGTGGCCCAGAGTCACTGCCTCATCCTTAGAGCTGTCAGCACCCCCAGTTCTAGAGCTCCCAGCCCTGGAAGGGCCCCAGAATGTTTGCACAGGGGATTTCAGGGTTCAGAGGTTAGTGAAGTGGGCTCTGTGGAGTGCCCTGGAGCCAATCTGCGTGCACGTGTGTGTGTGTGCGCACGTGTGTGCACGCACATGTATGATGGACTAAATACTGGGGCTCTGGGTCCCCACTCCTACTGTGACCATAGAACCCCAAACTTTTTCTGTTACTAGTGAGACTCCACATAAGTTACTATTTAAGTAAAAGGATCCATTATTTTTAAAAAAGAAAGGTTTGAAAATCATGAAACCTAGACAAAACTCATTTTATGTGTGGGGAAACTGAGGCCCAGGGAGCAAATGGCTTCTCAAGGTCACAGTGGGATCAGTGGCAGAGCTGGTATCATACCAGGCTGCCTGGCTCACAGGCTGACCAGGTCGAAATGTCCGTTTCAAGAGGTGGCAGGTGAGGGCGGAATGCCAGGAAGGCCTCATCCAGAGACGCGGGTTAAGGTCACAGCCTCCCCACCCCACGGGCCCCCTGTGAAGTGCCCGGGAGAACAGCTGCATTGGAAAGTTCCCTCAGTTCTTAACTGGAGGCTTGAGGTGTGGGAGTGGAAAGGGGCGGGATGAGGGAGGAAGAGTGGAGTGGGGGTGGGGGACAGGGGTTCATCCTCTGGGTCACTCATACCCCATCCCCCAATTAGAACACCAAATGCCCTTCTGTCATTTTCAGACTGCTTCTCCATTCCCCCGTGGTCAGTCTGACAGTTCTCCGCAGGAAGAAGATGAAGGCTGCTCCACAGGCACTCCCTGCCACAGCGCCTGTGCCATTGGAAGCAGTCCCCCACCCCAAGCACCTGACTTCCAGGCAGAGGGACTTGGTGGCAGGCATACAGAGGGCTGGGTGGCACTGAGGTGATGACTTCTGGGGTGGGAAGGCTGTGAAGAAGGGGGGTGGGAGTTCTATCTCAGGAGTCCTGTAGCCATCCCCCTACTGGCAACAGCAGGAATGGCATAGTAGGGGGCTCTGTGGCACCCCGTGTCTCCTGCCAGTGTCCAGATGGGCACCGGGGAAAATGCTATTGAATGAATAGTTGTGTCCATCCTCCACCAGCCTCTCCACAATCAGCAGTCTCCGCCCGCCCCCTCCAACACCCTTGTCCTTTAGAGACTACAAGGACTGAGTTATTCTTAGTAGGTTTCATTCATCGAAGCGTGACAAACAGCGTCCTGGGAGGAATGCCTACGGGCAGCCGAGAGCCAGAGGGGTGAGATGGGTGCAAAGGCCCCATCTGAGGGGACAATCCAATGCCTTCAAGGAGCTCCAGACTGAGGGGAGACGCAGCCCTGCCCTCAGGGAGCCCCGGTCTGAGGGGAGAATCTAATGCCTTCAAGGAGCCCCAGTCTGAGGGGAGACACAGCCCCATCCTCAGGGAGCTCGCTATGATGGAAGATACTACCTCCACACTCCCTTCCCCTAGCCCTCAGTGAGATCCCAGTCTAAGGGAGAGATCCAATATCCTGCCTTCAAGGAACCTCTGGTCTCATGGCAGAAAATACCATGTCACCCCCACTGGAAAAGATCTGGTGCCTACCCAAGGCAGAGACCGATATTCAAGATGAAAAAAGTGGCTGCCAGAGGGGTTTCCAGAAGCATATGCAACCACCACTGGCCCCACATGTAGGGAGCATAAGGCGGGGCTCGGAGGGACACTCATCTTGGCACGCTTACTGAGAACATGCAAAAACTACAAAGGTGCAATAGTGCAGACTGAGATCCTAGAAAATGAGGAAAAGGCTAAAGGCGCAGGCCAGGTGGGCCGGTCTAAATCAAGGTCTCAAACTCAAATGACTTGGGGACCTAGTGTGGCCACACTGGCCTTTGCCAATGGGGAGGGCAGCCCACATTGTCCGTAGAATATAAAAACCACATACTCACTGAAGGTCAAAAAAACCTCACTGAAGATTAAACTTGGCCCAAGGCCATCAGTTTGCAACCCCCTGGGCATCAGGAAAAAATTCCTGATAGTGGAGAGGTTGGAGCCTGGTTTGGATAAAGAAGCTGACAGCCAAGTTGCTCCCCTCAAGTGCTGGCCACCAGGCTTGGCTTCTGTGTCTTCAGGGCCTCCTCCCACCCTTCCTGGGATGGAAGACTTGAGCCACACTTCACCAGCTCCCTTGTGGCCAACAGGCCACAGCTGGTCGGCTGCCAGCACTCCAGTCTGCGGCGGGGGTATCACCTTTCTTCGCAGGAATGTAATTCCCCAGGCAGGGGAAGGAGCCTGTCCGGCTCCTTAAATGAGCTGATCTGGAAGTTCTAGCTGGGTGGTCTTCCCTGAGAGCCTTTACTTGTCTGAGCCTTCAGTGCAAAATGGGATACTATCGCCCGGGTGCCCTACCCACCCCCGCCCGGGACAGTTAACTTTCCAGTCGGCCTCAGTGACCATGTCTACGAGAGGGTCCTGCCCCCTCCCCACTCTCCCAGTCCCTTCCTGCAGAGATCTCAAAGACTGTAGGCTTACGGGAGGGGAGGGGCCGGCTTCCCCACTTCAGGCCTAGGGACGGGTCTCCAAGTCCTCCCCTCCCCCCACCCCAGGTTGGGGGGGGTCTCATAGCTCTCTCCTGGGACCAAGGGGGCAGTCCCGGAGGGCGGCAGGAAGCAGCGGGAGGAACCGACGCGCGCGCTACTGGGGACGGGGGACGGGTTCCGGGACCTGGGAGGGGCGGCCTAATTACGGCGCGTTGTCCCCGTGCCGCCGAGCGCCGCGGAGGAGAGCGGCGGTGGGTAATTGGAGCGCACTAGCCGTGCCCCTGCAATCCTGTAATTTCTCCGCGCGCTCCGGGTGTGTTGTAGGAGGTGAAGCGATGCGGGCTCGGCTCTGAGTCAGACTCTCGGAAGCCCGGCTAGGGACGCAGGGGACGAAAGAGGCCGCGGAGAAGCGACTCCTGCCGCGGGAGGCGCCGGCGCCTTCTCCTGGCAAGCAGTCACCCGTCCCGTGGCTGCTCGCAGTGCTTCCCCACTTCCGCGGACAGAGTGGGGCGGGGCCTGGGGCGGGGCAGCGAGGGGGCTTGGCCTGGGCCTCCTCCCGCCTCCAGGGGGCGCTCCTCAGTCCTGCGGCTCTTCCCCAGGCTTCGAGTCCGGTGCCCTGCACCCAGCCATGTGGCTGGCGCCCCGCGCGCAGGTGGACCGAAAGAGATGCAGATGCAACGCGGTAACAGACCTAGGGCAGTGAGAGAAAAAAACACTCAGAGACATCAGAAGGAAGTGGGGGCGCTTGTTCTAGCTGAGCCCTGAAATCAATTCTGGGGGAGCAGGGAGGAGCGAGCGGGGGGCCGAGGCTGGGAGGGGAGTTTATTTATTAGCCAGATTAGCCAGCATTAATGGGGGAGCGGTGGTGGCCGGCGGCGGCGGGGACATAGCTGGCATAGCTGGCATAGCGGCGGGGCCTCCCTCGGCGCGGGGCTCAGGCGGCTTCAAAGGGGCTTAAAGAGGCCCGTGGTGGCACTGCCACGGCCCCGCGGGGGAGGGCGTGGGCGCGGGCGGCGGGGGAGAAGGCGGCCATTGTGCACCGAGGGATTAGGGATCTGGCCTGGAAGGAATTTTAAACTGCTGCGAGCCGGCGCCCCAGGACTCCCCTCCTGCCCCTCCACTGCTCCAGGAGCAGGAGCAAGCTCAGATGTTTACCTGCATTTCCGTGTCTGGGGGGTCCTCCCGCCCTCGGATTGGAGGCATCTAGGGTTGTCAAATTTGGCAAGTAACGATGCAGGACGTCCAGTTAAATTTGAATTTCAAATAAACAATGAATAGGTTTTTTTTTTTTTAGTATAAGTATACTCCATGTGTTTTATGGGATATACTTATACTAAAACATTATTTGTTGTTTATCTGAAATTCAGATTTAACAGGACGTCTTGTATTTGCTTTTCCAGCAGCCCTAGAGTCACCAAAATGTCTAATCTGTGTCTGCCACATATTGGGGGCTCCCTAAAAATTCAGTGGGGCTTGTGTGTCTACCCTCAGACTGTAGGTTTCCTGAAGCCCAATGCTGTGTTTCACCCTTCAGAATGAGCTCTGATGGTAGAGTACACGTCTCCATCAGAATAGGAGCTTCCTGAGGACGGAGCTCAATTTCAGATTGGACCTTTGAGGTCAACGTCTGTGTCTTCATCACACTGGAGGTTCCTGAAGGGGTGTGTGTGTGTGTGTGTGCTTCCTTGAGGGCAAGTCTGTCTCCTCCTCCAAACAGGTGGTGGCCCCTCCCCCATTGGTGTAGTTTCCTGTCTACAGGGGGCGCCAGGGTCCCAGAGGACTGACCTACAGATGGATGGGTCCTGTTTCTTGGCACTCAGGGCTGCAGGTTCTCTAGGGTTGATGGACCTGGGGACTTGGGAGGTGGGGTCCCCATCCTGTGTGGCTCTTGACCTGGTCCTGGCCCCTGTCCGGGAGTTGAGGCCAGGCCTGCTTTGGCAGAAGCTGTGGCCAGCATGTGGGAGAATCTCTGAGTCTGGTTACTGACAGTTTTTGACAGGAAGGGACAGTGTGGCCCTCGGTGCAGAATGGCCTCGGTGCAGGTGGGCCCTGCCCACCTCCTCTCTTCCCATAACCATTGCAGCCAAGCCTCTGTCCTCTATCAACCTCACAAACCCCATTACCCAGCCTTTGCCTGTGCTGTTCTCTGTGCCTCTCTTCCTGTCCTTGAGGACAGCTGAAGTCTCACCACAGCTCCTGGATGTTCTGGCCTTCAGCAGGGTAGGTATGGCCAAGTAGGCTGCTTGTGCCTGGGGGCCTTGTGGTGCGAAGAGACATCCATCCACTCCTTCCTTCCTTACCAACCTGGGCCACAGGGACCAGAGAGGGGACAAAGGTGGGGGTGGGGAGAGATGGGAAGGTGGGGGGAGTGTAGGTGGAGGGGAAGCAAGGGGAAGCAAGAGGAAGTCTTGGCCACCATCTCCTCCCCGCCGCCCCCCCCGCCACTGTAGCCCCTTCCCAAATCCACTGTTCCACCCCCTCCCCCGCCACTGTAGCCCCTTCCCAAATCCCCTGTTCCACCCCCTCTCCCTCCCCCACCCCAGCCTCTGAACTCTTTTCCCTTGAAGCTGAGGGAAGCCGGGGAGAAGCCCTTTCCCACGATCACAGCCTCAGCAACCCCACCCCCTACTCCTTCGGCCACAGCCACCTTAGCCTCTGCAGAGCACAGGCCTGGCCTGCTCCATCCCTACAGGGCCCCCTCCTTGAGCCAGGACGCCTGCTTCCTCGAGTGGCATCACCCCACTCCTCAGGCCGCCCAGTCATCAGGTCAGCAATTAGCTACCGCATGAGGCCACCGAACGTCACAGCCCCTCCCCCCAGGCCAGCCGGCGGCCTGGAGTGCTGGGGGGTGCCCCCCACACTTTGTAGTCAGTGCCAAGTCCTGGCAGGACCTCCCCCCAGCCTACTGAGCGCTGGGGTATTGAGCTCTTCATCTTGGGACCCTGCGCTCCTGGGGGCGGGAGAAGCCTCGCTGCTCCCTCCTCCCTCCATGTCACCCCATCCCATTGGGTGAGGACACTCCCACTGCCTGGGTGGGGCAATGCCAGCTCAAGGGCACCTCAGCCTGGAGCGAGTGGAGCAAGCGGGTCTGGGCCTGAGATTCAGGTGTCTCTGTCCCCAGTCATAGGCAGTTTTAACCAGGCTGTCACCTGGGGCCTGGGAATCTGTGCACTGAGGATGGTGGCAGTGACCTGGTAAGGGGGGAGCAATGGGCGGCCCTCTGCAGAGACCCAAACGTGCAGGGGGGCAGCCTCTTCCTGAATGCCCACGGGGGGCTTGCACACCTGCACCTGGGCACACTCACAGATCCAACCTGGGCAGTGTGTGTCCCGCTGCAGTCGTGCGCTCAGGTGTCCCTGGCAGGCAAACCCACCTGGAGGTATACCACATGCCCAGACGACCCCTCCTGTGGCGTGCACACAAACCCACCGATATGCTCACAGGCAACAAGCTTACCACCACACCAAAACCAAAACCAGGATATGACAAAGGAGCCCAGCCCAGGAGGGTGGGATGACAGACCACGTCCCCCTCCCCCATCCCACCCCTTGGGCTCGGTGTCTCCCTGGGGAAGGGTGGGAAGGGTGTGTGGTGGGCAGGTGGGCAAGTGGGAGCAGCTGTGGTCTGAGTCTGGAGGTGGGGGCAGGGTATGGATTTCCAGAGAGAATAAAAAAGTTCCAACAAATTTAAAGAAAGGTGTGGAATCTTAGGCAGATCATCACTCCTTAGGGCCTCAGGGATTGCATCTGTAAATCGGGGATATTAAGGACACCATTTAAACTTGGTTGGGAAGTTTAATGGAGGTAACTGGCTCAGAGCAGGTGCCCAGCCCACATAACTGTTGAGGAGACCCTCCCTATGTCCCGTCTCTGGGTGGTGGATTTGCCCACAAGAGCTGCCCAGAGGAGAGAAGCAGCCCTCATCCTGGGCCTTACCTGAGCATGTGCTCACCGCTGGTTTTCTCCACTTCCTGGCGTCCAGCCCTGGCCAGGCGTTGGGGCTGATAGGGTGTTGCTCCGGATTGGCCTGGGGGCAGGGCCTGGGAGGGGCTGTCTGGCTGCCCCGCCCCTACCTGACTGGCCCAACAGGTAGCTGAGTGCTGGCTTCCAGCCCTGGGAGGGGATGAGTCAGTCAGCACCGCCCCATCCAGGCAAATGGGGCGCAGGGGACAGGAGCTTGGGTGGAGGGGCCTTCTAGGAACGTTCCTGGAAGAGGACCTGGGAACCACGCTGCTGCCTGGAGCCACCGCCTCAGCCTACTAGTCTGTACCCAGCTCAGCAAACACCCTCGTCCTTGCTTCTCACAGCGAGCCCTCCGCCCTCTGGATTCATGGGGCCGCCCCAGCTGGGAGCAGGGAGCCAGGCCTGAGGCCCTCGTGCTGCCTTGCCACCCTTCTCAGCCCTTCAGGAAGGCTGTCCAAGCCACGGCCACAGGGCCACAGGCACACACATGCTCTTGTACACATGTCTGCAGCCACATGAGCACAACCAGAGACGTGTTCCCACAAGCACACGCACACGCATACTCTCACCGCTCCCTCACACTTATACACACCACATAAACACCCGACTTCACGCACACACTCATGTGCACGACACACAAACTTGCAGAGTCATAATCACTATTGTTGGTTGGATTGTGTCCCTCAAAAGATATGTTGACATTTTTGCCCCAGTACCCGTGAATGTGACTTTAGTTGGAAACAGGGTCTTTGTAGATGTAATCAAGATGATATCTAACTGGATTAGGGTGGGCCCCTAATCTAATGACTGGTGTCCTTTTAGGAGAGAGATTTGTAGACAAAGAGATACGAGGCACACAGGGAGGAAGGTCACGTGATGACAGAGGCAGAGCTTGGAGTGAGGCAGCCACAAGCCAGGGAGCACCAAGGATTGCCTGCAACCACCAGAAGCTGGGAAAGAGACGTGGAACAGACTCTTCCTAGAGCCTCCAGAAGGAACCAGCCCTGCCGACACCTTGATTTTGGACTCTGGCCTCCTTAATTATGAGAGAATAAATTTCTGTTGTTTTAAGACACCAGGTCTATGGTATAGTTTATTATGGCTGCCCTAGGAAATGAATACTCATGCGCACGCACACACAGACACACACACACTCACTCACTCACACACTCACACACACTCACAGTGGCTCTAGGCGCAGGAATGAGGTTGGTGGAGTCCCTTTTAGGGGCTGCTCTGTCTCCGTCCTCCTTCCCCTATGACTAGTCCAGTCGACACAAAAAGGCTCACGGCACCAGGCAGGAGCTCAATAATTTTTCATCTCTCCTCCCCTCCCTGGAGTTCTTAACGAGGCATCCCCCTCAAAATCTGTTCTCAAGAATGGGTAGCCATGGTTATGTGCACCAAAAGACGTGTCCAAGAAGGCTGCGGTTGCTTTAATGCTGTTAATTAAAAACTGGAAACAACCAAATGTCCATCAACAGCAGAACACATAAATCAGTTGTGGCATAACTATTCAAAGGAAGGCTACTCAGCTACGAAAAAGGAAGAACTGGTGTTGCAGAAACAATGTGGAAAACCCTCACAGACCTCATGTCCAATAAACTGGGTCAGACACAAAGACTGCATGCTCTAGGAGTCCGTTTGCATGAGGTTCAAGAATAGGCCAAGCCAATCTGTGGTGAAACAAATCAGAATAGTGGTCACTTCTCTCCTGGAGGGAATGGTATTGTCTGGCAGGGGCTTGAGGGAGCGTCCTGGGGGGCTGAAATACTCTATGCTGGATCTAGGTGGTGGTGACATGCGCGTACAAACATGAACAAATTCACCAAGCTGTACCCCTAAGATTTGTGCAATTTGGTGCACAAATCTTACACCTCAATTAAAAAAAAGTAAATTTAAAAAACTGGGTCCCCGGGAAGTCAATGACCAGAAGCCACTGGACAGCATCTTCTGGGGTGGGTGGCTGCAGAGCCTGCCTCGTCCCCATACTGCACTGGTGTCCTTGGACCTGGGACCCCTTTTGTGGCTGACGTTCCAGGATATTTGTCGACTGTAAACTTTGAGCCGGGGGCTGCCTGGGGAGGCCCTGGTGTGTCTCAGCAGCTCTGGGTGGGAATGGGTGTGCAGAGGATCCCACTGCAATCTGTTTCCCCAATTTAAGACCACATGTTATCATTTCTTTCACAAAAAGCCTACACTGAAGCAGAGCTACCTTTTTATGCAGCTTTTGCTATCTGCCAGGCACATACTAAGTATCTTTGAGGGAGGTGGCAGTGTTGCCATTTCACAGGCAAGAAAACTGAGGCTATGAGCTGTTGAGCAAATTCCCAAAGTCACACAGGAAGCTCAACGGAGGGGATTTGGCATGATAGATCCATCATACTGGGGCTGCCTGTGGGCAAGGCTATGTCTCCTGGTCAGTGTGGGCTCTGGGGTTTCTAAGTCCCTCTGCAGGAGGGATTTAGGGGAGGATCTTGTCTTGAACCCGACTCGTAGCACAGGCACTGCTTTCCTGGCCACTCAGCTGCCCCTCACCGTGGCTCTGACCGCTCTGCCTAGCTCAGGGCTCTGCCCATAGGTGTACCATAGTTTGGGACCATGGATCTGGGGGGTGAGGGAAGAAGCGGGGGAGGGCGTGGATCAGAAGGACCTGTTCCTTTAGCGACTGTGCTGGAATCAGCTCTAGAGGTTCCCACCCCTTCCACTGCTTCCTGGCCCGGCCCACTGGGTGGGAGTCAGGACCACCCAGCTAAGCCATGCCAGAGCCATGCTGAATGGAGAGCTGGACCCTGCCCCTTGCCAGGAGAACCAGCTGGGAGAGGGGCTTCATTAAGGATGTATAGAAGGGCAGTGTGCAGGGTGGCCCCCAGCACAGCCCAGGACCAGGTGCTTCCCACCCACCCGGGCCTTGCCCGCAGGAGCTGGGTCATATGATGGTGCCGAGGAGGCAGGTGTAATAGGAGCTGACATCCTCCTCGGCCTGCCCTGTGACTATATTAAGTTCTGTGCCTGGTCTCCCCTCCACCCTATCCCCAGGACTTTCCCTCCTCCCGCAGGGGATCCTGCAGTGCAGACCGAGGAGTCCTTCCTCCCCTCCATCCCATTGTCCTAGGAAAGGGGCAGGAGTTTAATGAGGTCACAGCCAGTGGGTGGGTAAGTGGAGGCGGTAAATTTAGGCCTTGGTGCTAATGAGCTGTTGTGGGGAGCAGCTTGGAGGGAGGCTGCCTGTTCCTAAGGCCTTAGCACCCCTCACACTCAGTCATCCCCCCACTGCCCCCCTCCCGCCCCCACATCACCCAGGGCTCACAAGGGCACACACAGAACACGCTCAGCAGCTGCTGAGACACGGTTTTCACTCTTGCAGGGCAACCACGTGGAGGTACCCTTGCACGTTTGCACCCCTGGGAGCCCATTACCACCCTTATAATCCTGTTCAGGCGCTCACGTTTGCACGCCCAACCATGCATGCTTGCAGCCCCATGACCTCACATGCACACCACTCACCCCCGTTCGCCGTTTCTCCGAAGCCCCCAGAAGCAGAGGAGCCCTGGGGCTGCAGGGGGGTCGGGGAATGTAGTCTGGAGGATGCAGGGCATTTGCACCCCCTGCCTAGACCTAAAGGCTCAGTCTCTTTCTCCCCCCACCCACAGTGGGACTCATCACCCCTGGGTGAGAGGCCAGAAGCCCCAGGAAGCCCTGCCTTCTACCCAGGGTGAGGGCAGAGGGCAGGGCAGGGTTTATTAATAAACTCGCTCCTGACTGGGAAGGCCTGTACAGGAGGCCCAACCTCGAGCCAATCACAGCAGAACTTTCCAGGAATGTCACCCCCAAGCAAACCTTCCTCTGACTCCAGGATTATTTCCCACCCCTGATTTCATCCTCTTGGTGTGTGGGGCTCCCGCCAGGCTGCCCTGGCTCTGCCCCACAGGCCCGCTGTCACCCGGCAGCTGCCCAGAGGTCACAGCATGTGGGCGATGGGACTGGGATTAGGACCGCTTCCTCTGTAACCCAGTCCTGCTACATCTCGCTCCCCCAAACCGAGGACCACTGAACCCTCTGTGTTGGGAGCGCAGGAGGGCCTCTGCCTCGCTACCCACTCACGGCATCACGATGCTGCCCTGGACCCCCACTCCAAGTGGGGCGGGGCCCTTAAAGCAGAGACCCTGGGCTAGCTTCTTGGCCTTGCGTCCTTGGGCGAGCAGAACGTGACTTGTCTGTGGTTCACTGTCATCATTTATAAAAGGAAGGTAAAAACGCCCTCCCAAAATCAGCTGTGAGGATGAGGAATGTGTGATGGCTGGTGTAAAGCTATAAAGGGCTGTACAAGAGTGTAGAGGAAATGGATTTTATGTCTTTGCCTCTGTCACTAATTCCATTCCCATCTCCATCACCACCACCACCATCACCGACACCTCCATCTCCTTCACACCGTCACTTCCTCTATCACAGAATCACTGCCATCGTCCTCAGCCTCCTCACACTGCTGTCCTCAGCGACCCTTCCATCACAGCCAACACGTGATCACCACTCCATTGCTCCAAGAACACTTATTCAATACCTACTGTGTTCACAACCTTTTGGAAATTACTTCTGTCCAGGGTCCCGCACGTTGGGAATGGCCTATACCTCTCACTTCCTTTAAGCCCTGACACACAGCCCATCTCTGGCAGGAACTGTTCCTTAATCTACCCTGCATTACTCAGATTTCTTCTGTACACTGTGGTTCAGCTTCACCTGTCCCCTCCCTGGTTGCTGTGTGTGTGTGTGTCTGTGTACTCACACCCACACTGTTTAAACTGGTTTCTAAAGGCAACCTCCACCCAGATATCCTACACAGAGCATGGTGGCTCTGGGTCCCACTCCTGGCTCTGACACTTTCTAGCTGTGGGACCTGGGACAAGCCAGGTCTCTTTGTCTTCCCAACTGTAAATTGGATTTAATAATCCCATGTCTCATAGAGTTGTGGTGAGGGGTGCCTGAGTTGTTGTATATACAGCACTTAGAGCAAGTGTTCAATGAACACTAGTTATTGCTGTTGCTGTTATTATTAGTCCTTCCTCCTGCCAATGCTTGACACAGGGCTTTGTGCTGTCAATGAAAATGAATATATTACTGCATACACTCTGACTTTGCAATATATCTTGGGA